CGATAATCGCCACACGGTCTCCAACTTCCATCGCCTTTGCGAACCATGTGAAGTGGACTTGCCCAACAGCTTTTCGAAGGTTGACAAATCCCTGTCTGGACTAAAAATTGGAATTCCTTCTTGGCTTCTTCAAGTTTGGCTCCAACTAAACGTCGGGGACGAGCAAATGACGGCGCACCAAATGTCTCGATGCAATGTTCAACCTTAGTAACTAAACCCATCCGATTTGCACTCATAATGCCTAAATCACGGTATTCATTAACCAGCTCAGCATAAGCTGAAACTGAACCACACACACGCACAGTATCTTCTTGAGACACAGCAGCCTTACCCTTCATCATCAAAGTCGTCTTCGAATCAACTAACCGCTTCCTTTTCAAATCCACTAACAAGTCATAGTGATTAAGGAAGTCGGCTCCAACAATAGGGCAGCTAACATCCGCAATCACGAACGTCCACGGGAAATCTCTACGCAAACCCAAAGACAAAAGCAGTCGACGCTCGCCAAATGTTTGAATAGGCGTACCATTAGCGGCATATAAATTAACTGATGCAACACTGTTAGCCCTTTGCTTCCAACGACAGAACGACTTCGGTAAAACTGATATGTCCGCACCAGTATCAATGAGAAAAACGGTCGACGTGGCGGGATCTTTAATACTAAGTCGAGCTATACGAACACTAACCCCTTCTCGGCTCGACGACGTAGAAGGAGTGCCTAGTTTTTTGACTGATGAGAGCTTGCCACAAAACTACAGGGCTGCCGACAAGCATTAGCTCTATCACCAAACCTTTCGTGATACCAGCACCAATCTGGATGGACTTCCTGGTCGGGAACGAGTTCGCCTACGTCTCCTCGATGACGATCGACTTTGCACCGACTCACTACGACGTAAATCCAAACGACTCAGACGCTGTTCGATTTGCTCAAGCCTTCGTAAAATCACAGCATTCTCAGAATAGGCTGGACAATCAGAGGCTGACGCTACAGCTATCTGTTGAAAATCACCCGCCTCGCAAATACGGTCTGCTAATTTCGCCAGTTCTGCTAGTGCCACATTCGATGCCTGCAGAATAGCGCGCACTTGTGGTGGCAAACGCTTCAGCCAAAGAGACTTAAGGAACTCATCGCTCACCTTGTCTTTAGCTAACGCTGTCAACTCCGTTAGCAACTGTGTTGGGCGTCTATCACCAAGTTCAACTTCTGACAACAACCGTTGAATCTTCCGCTGCTCGCTCTCACTGTACCGCTCTATGATGCAAGCCTTTAAATTAGCGTATCTTCCAGTTTCAGGAGGATGAAGCACTGCATCACTTACATCGGCGATAACACTTGACTCAATCGCTGCTACTACCGTGTTGAACTGTGTGATGTCACTCGTAATGGCAGCTACTGCAAATTGCGCCTCGATCTGAGCAAACCAAATCTCCGGTCGCTCGTGCCAAAACGGTGGCACCTTCACTGCTACACGGTTTACGACACTTCCACTATCAGAAGCCATTACTACACCTTCGTCTGCAACTGACATCACAGCTCGATAATTAGATATTTAGCTCAGAAGTTAATATTTCTAAATTTAAACTTTTTCGAGATCACGTCGGGGTCACCAATTTAGCAATGATCTGTTCACCTTGCTAATTAATAAAACTCTAAAAATTTTCAATGTTAATAAACTTTTATTCAACTTTTTACAGAGAGAAAAATCGAAACGTTCTCCTCAATCAAAACAAAAAACTTAAAAATATTTGAAATTGAATTTTACTTTTTAAATTCAATAAATTCACAGCCAACTGGGTCGCCACAGTATCATAGTTTTAAACTATAGCAATTAGAAGCGATGACACTTTTGAAATCAGTTGCTCGATATCTTAGATATTGAGTTGGGTTTATTGTTATATTGGTTAAATGTCAAATAGCTGCGGCACATGCTAATGTAATGTGATCAGTGTGTGGAAAAGTAAGAGTTTACTTACAGTTTTGTAAGGAGGTTTCGAAGAGTAGTGGACAATAACAACAAAATTTCTTTTTATATTATTTTAATTAATTGAATTTTCGGTTCACCATACAGCTGTTTCGAGTTTTGTCAAATATCCATTATTAGTGGTTTTGGGATTATTTCTTGTACTTAATTATTCGTAAATAATTTTTTGAGACTTCAATAGCATAATTAATGGCATCATTGTCATCACTGGATATACACACAGATGCAAACAGTAGATTCTGCGAAGATAATGAGGACTCGGTCACTAGGAATAGACTCCTAGGAATATATATTCTTACGGAAGAGGCAATAAAACTCTGTAAAGTAGGTTCTATACTACTCTTTATTGACGCAACAGGCCAACTCTAAATACAAAAAAAGGGGGCACAATAGGTCTAACGGTCGCAGTGCCACATTACTTACCAATAATAATAATAATTGTCACTAATTATGATTTGGATTCTATTTAAAAAAAAAATAATTTTAGATTCTCAAAAAAATCTAAAATTTTTTGTAAAATGATTCAAATCAGACTTTTACGGTCTTAGCGTTATGTATGTTATGGCAATGTCTTTTACATGTGTAAAAATGAAGCTTCTGACTTCAATGACTTTAGGAGTGGGACTATATTATGCTAATAGAAAATGTGCTGTGTGAGGGATTACATTAAAAAAATGAGAGTATCATACAGCTCATGTAAAGCTGTCTTTAAGAATATTTCAGACGTAAAATTAGTGGTGGCAATATGTTTCGGGCTTTTGAATTCTCGATAAGAGTGATTGATCAATGAAATTTTTGTATTATTATTGCTATAATATTGAAACAAAAGGTGAATCGAAATTTATTGTATTGAGAAGATGAAAAACAAATACAGTTCAGGTATATGTTAACATCTTTTTAATCCATTTCTTTAGCGCATTTAAGTCTACTACACACAAAGCTTTCAAAAATCAACTGATAACAGTTTCAACATCGAAAATGTGTATACAAACATTACTTTTAGTGTTGTTAGCTATCACTTTTACTCTTTTTTGGTGCTGTTTTGGAAATTATTGGTACTGTTTGCTTGTTTTTGCTGTTCGTTTTATAATATAGTTCTTGCCATTCTTGCCATTCTATTATCTTAGAGCCATATAATAGAGTTTTAACTAATGTTATAAATGGTCACATTGTTTCATACTCCTTTTAATCATGGCCATTAAAGTATATTATGTAGTAAATCAAATTATATTTATTAATTTCATATTAACAGTATGAACAGTATGATGCCATTATTTTAAATATATTATTATATATTTATATATTATATTTATTAAAATATAAAAAATGAATATTTATAAAATAGTTTTGAGAAACATTTTTATTTTAAACTTAACGCTTAATAAGGCTTAGTACTTAAATGTAAACAATTTTAATTGTTTAAACTATTTCATGAAAGTTCAATCAATTATCTTTGAAATGCTGTAAATTTCAAGTTTCTACCTTTTATAGAACTTGAGATATAGCCAAACCCATGGGGTTTTGCCAATTCCACAATTCCACAAATATCTTCTAGGAAAAAACTCACAAAATTTTTTCCCAAGATACGGTTCTTCTTATATTATGAAAGGAGCTTATAAGTTCCCAACGTGTTTAAAATATACCTAATCCAATCTAAGTCGATGTTTTAGTCGATGTGTTATAATTTTTCTTAGTTGATTTGAACCCAACATTTTTTCCAGTGCGGAAGTAAATCTCAGTTGCAGTATCGACCTATTTATTGTTATATATGAAACTTTGTATGCTATTCTATAAATGTCTTAGTTACTGAAAGGTGAAAAGTAAAAAAGTGCTGAGGATTTTTTTATATTAAATAAACAATATTGGTCAGCCAAACTTCAGCATTGTGACGATTTTGGTATGGTAAATATAAAATCATAGCAACATGGCAACACTGTTAGTTGGCAGGAATTAGAAAAAATATGACAGACATCTTTTTTACTCTTCTTCAGGAAGCTATGTCTCGCCAACAGACGAGTTCGTTGTGTTTAGTTTCAATTGTAAATAATAATTACTTATTGGAGAATATCTTTTATAAAAAACGTTATAATGAGTAAAAAAAAACAACAGCAAATAAAGATTATTAAGTACAATTAAAAGAGCGCGGTTATTTTTGGTATTTGTTAACAATCCAGTGATACGAACGAGAACAATGATGAAATTACAAAAGGCAAATTCGTAACTATATATTAATTAAAATTTTTGCTGTTGTCTTTTCATTTCTATTCGAACTCTATTTATAAGTCGGGTCAAAAATGTAAACTTTTGCTAAAGAGCATAAAATCGATTTTCAAATAAATTAAATTAATTCCCTTCAAAAAAATTTTAATATATGTGTATCACCTATAATTTTCAAAGTCATTTGAAAGAGATATTATTATAAATTAGCTAATAATTTATTGTTAAATTTAAAGCATTTGCCATACTAATTTTAATTATAACAAATGTGGTGCCGTGAAATTATTTTTATTTTTATCTGTCGATAATTTATCAAAAAATTTTCTTGTTATATATCAAAATTAATTTCAGTAAATTCCCTAAAAATACCCATTAAAATTAAAAATAGTCTTTTGAAAATTGTTAAATTATCAATAAATCACGAAAAAAACCAGCGCAAAAAGCACAAAATGTCAACAAAATCGTGAGAAAACTCGAAAAAACTTAATTAAAAGAGCAGAAGCACTAATTTTCCTCGCATGCCGTGATTTATGGGCTCGCGTCGATGAATTGCGCCCCCGGAAAATTGCTTTCAAATTGGAAACTAAACGAAAATTGAACGAAATGTCTGAATGCACATTTGGAAAATTGACTTATCATATAGAATAAATAGGTTCAGACAGCTTAACGATGAGTACGAAAAAATAAAAATAATATCGTTTAGGATTTGCAGTGAAGTGCAAAGAATAAATCCGGATTGAATGGGAACATTTCGACGTCAGGGGAGTAGTGGATGGCCAATTGTTTGGGAGATAATTGGTATAATAAATTTAATATGATTTGCTCCCAATACAAAATTTATATAATTTTAAAGCAAAAACGATTGAAAATTGAATTATGGATAATTAATTTAGTTCAATAATTCAATTCTCAGACAGTTTGTGGTGGAAAATGTTTTGGATTTATGATTAAATTAATATTAATTAAATAATATTTAGAGTAGGTTTAAAAAACTCATGTTGGTGAGAATATTAACACCTAAATTCGGAGACAACTATTATCTATTTTTTTATTTACTATATGTTTGCTATATATAGGTATTTCAAAATATATATATATAATTTACACATTTAAAGAATTCATTATTATCTCTATAGTACTATCTTATGGCAAATTTTGTTTCCCTGCTAAATTTTGGGTGCACACCTGATGTTCGTTTAATATGCCATGGATTAGTGAATCGGTAAAGTTGCAATAAATTTCAGGAACGCTGCATATAAATCAATGTAGTGATTAACGCACAGGTTCAAATTAGTTGTTTCTTCTCGAAGGCAAAGAAATTTCATTGTGGAAATTGTTTATGTTGTTTTCTTTTCCCATTTTATGGTCTACATTGGATGTTGCTGTTATCTCAACGCTGTGGTGCCAAGGTGGGTGTACGTATTGACCGTAATTTATGGCAGTTCAACGCGAAGCGACAGGCGAGCAAACCGCTAATTGCTGCAGTGACACTTGCAATAGGTCACTTGGCAAAGTTTCGGTAGCAAAGCGGCCCACAAATAGGTAAATCTTATTTTGTTATTTTATGGAATACTCTTTGTTGAAAATTTATTTTAATTTTATGGACGAGTTGCCAAAAGTAAACATTTGTAAATAAATATATTACTTAAAAGAGCTTAGATTTATTTCGTAAATTTTTTTCTTTGTTAATTTTAACACATTCTTAAATAATTCTTATGTTTCAGTATTTGAAGGAAGTTTTTATCAAAAAAAAAACAAACTATTTCGTCACCTAAAAGCAAATTCTGTTTGATATATTTTGAAGAATATTTAAACAGCTTCATAAACAAAACTATTTAAAATATAACTAAGAAATTGAGTCACTCAATATTTGAATTAATTTCAAAAAAAAAAAAAAAATTATTAAAAAGTCTTTAGATAAATGCTTCACTTAAAGTATTTAAAATATTGCTCTTAAAGTCAATTGAAAAATTTTAAAAACTTAATATTAAATTAATAACAAAATAATTTGTATAAACATATTTTAAAAAAAAAAATGTTTAATATTATATAAAATCATACATTGAAAATGTTATCTTCGCTAAACTGACTTAATTTCTGTTTCGGTATATTCTTATGGATGTCTTGGTATTGAGTACATCACAAAATCACATTTTTGGGTAATTTTTTACAGAGAATATTTTACTCTTTTAAACAATTTTCTTAAATGAATT